AGCGGCACACTGTAGCAGTGCGCCACCGGGCCGGCCCAATAGTCTATTTTCAAAGTTTGAAAAAATAAGTGTTTTCTTCAAGGGGAAAAAATATGCTGAATTAAACTGATTAGAAATGATGCAAATTTTCCTTTTAGATCAAGATGAATGTGCTGTTTATGGTACATGCAGCCAGACCTGCATAAATACGTATGGATCCTATGCTTGCAGTTGTGTGGAGGGCTACATAATGCAGCCAAACAACAGGTCTTGCAAGGCCAAAAATGGTAAGTTATGATCTTTTTTGTCCTTCTAGAATTTCTTTTCTTCTTACAGTTCCTTTTCATTAGAAATGTGGTACAACAATATGGACTTTGAACAGATAGATTTTCCTTCATTTTAATACACTGATCGGTAATTAGAAATCCAGAGCACTTCTTTCAGTTGTCACTGACCATTAGAAAACTCTTTTCATTACAGGAAGTTTCTAATTAGCAAAAACCTGTTCAAAAGAAATGGATTAATTGATTTGAATTACCCATCTCTCTCCTGGACCACTCTAGATTCCTAACTAGTTTCTGTAAGCTTGCTGCTTTGCCCTCAAAATTCACACTCCACATAATAAAGCAGTCTGCTAAAATATAAACCAGACCATGTTATTCTCTTGTTTAAAATCTCCCAGTAACTTTTACTTATCTTGAAAGTATAATCTGAACTTCTCACAGGACCTATTAGGGCCTAATGGTCTGGTACCATTTTCCTTTCCAATATTATCTCCCACAACTCTCTCATTTCATCATCCATGCTGGCCACACTGGTTTCCTTGTCCTTCCTCAACCTCATGGCTGTTACATTAACGTCATTCCACTTGCTATTTTATCTACTTTCAATGCTTTTCCCTGTGATGTTCATATTAATGTCTTTTTCTTATCATTTCAGTCTCAGCTAAAATGTGAAAATTCAGAATGACCTTCCCTAACCATTGTAGTTAATGACGTATACATACAGGTACTCAATGAATATTTGTATAAGGAAGGAAGGAAGGAAAAAGGAAGGAAGGAAGGGACAAAGGAAACAAAAAAAGTGAACTTGTTTTTCTAATTAAAGTTGCTAAAATGAGTACTCCACATTTAAGTATTTCAATTTCATGTTTCAAAACTGCCTTTTACTGTTTGCCTGCAAATAAAGCCTGTAGTTTCTACACAGTTTTCAGGCTACAGTAAACACTCAGTATTATTGATTTGCTAATGAAATACCTTTTAGATACCTAGNTTTTCCCTGTGATGTTCATATTAATGTCTTTTTCTTATCATTTCAGTCTCAGCTAAAATGTCAAAATTCAGAATGACCTTCCCTAACCATTGTAGTTAATGACGTATACATACAGGTACTCAATGAATATTTGTATAAGGAACGAAGGAAGGAAAAAGAAAGGAAGGAAGGGACAAAGGAAACAAAAAAAGTGAACTTGTTTTTCTAATTAAAATTGCTAAAATGAGTACTCCACATTTAAGTATTTCAATTTCATGCTTCAAAACTGCCTTTTACTGTTTGCCTGCAAATAAAGCCTGTAGTTTCTACACAGTTTTCAGGCTACAGTAAACACTCAGTATTATTGATTTGCTAATGAAATACCTTTTAGATACCTAGTAACAATAGAATAATGCTAATTTTTGTGGGCTGAATTAGCTTGGGAATACTACAGGGTGATGATATATATGATATTCTATCTGGCTTCTTCTAACTTCCCTTAAACCTGATTTCATTTTGTGCATTTTCTAATAATTATGTATTGATAAATTAATGAATGCCCTCCTTGCCCACTCCCCCGATTAGCAATTGGTAAATTAGTCGTGTGATGGAATTTTCTTTTCTGAGGTGAGATTGAGTGAAGCATTGGATTTGCTCAGGAAGCTGCTACTCATGACACCCTTTACACGTAACCTCATGTTCTAATTTCAATGATTTTCATGACATAGTGTGGTTAGTTATTGAGAGGAGATATTTATATACAAAATCACGAAGAAAAAAAATACTCTTTTTCTTTTCAGTTTACTTCTTCGAATTACTGACTTGGTTTCAGGAAGCCATATTTATTTTGCAGAGGCAATCTTTGAGAAAGATTAGGTCAGGTTATATGCTCCCCTTTTTCCCACAACTGAGAGTTCTGATTTAAAATACTGAAGGACTAAAGAAGTAGAAAGCTTGTTTTTTGCTGTTTCTATTGATCATTCTCTCTAGAGAATTATGTTGCAAATGGCAGTATTTCATCCATGTTGTTGCAAATGGCAGTATTTCATTCTTTTTTATAGCAGAGTAGTATTCCATTGTGTAGAGATATACCACGTTTTCCGTATCCACTCATCTGATGATGGACATTTGGGCTGATTCCAACTCATAGCTATTGTAAAGAGTGCTGCAATGAACACTGGATAACAGGTATACCTTCAACTTGATGATTTCCATTCCTCTGGGCACATACTTTTAAAATTTCATTAAATAAAATAAAGCCTGATACTCAAAATCAAATTTATTTTTAAAAAAATATTGTTCAAAGAGTCTACATTTACTTTTTACTCATCACCTTATATTTTTGGTAAGACAAAACCTGAGTTTTGTCCAAGCATCGAGAACTTGCTGAGAGCTTTATGTTTGGAACCTAAAGTCTGGCAAAAAGTTTAGGGTAACATCCAGTCCCCGTAAATATGAATGTTATACTTTATGATGAATAGTAATTGAAAATATTACTACCGGGCCGGCCCGGTGGCGCACTGGATAGTGCGCCGCTTGGGAAGCGCGGCGGCGCTCCCGCCCGAGGGTTCGGATCCCACATACAGACCAGTTCCTGCTCACTGGCTGAGCGAGGCGCGGGAGCAACACTGAGGGTTGCGATCCCGTTGCCGGTCCCCGGTCCGGTACGGGGGCAACACTGAGGGTTGCGATCCGTTGCCGGACACGGAAAAAGACAAAAGACAAAAAAAAAAAAAAGAAATATACTGATGTCTTCATCTCTAAGTTCTTAGCTTAATGACAATAATGGACTACCGAGTTTGAAAATACACAGTTGTCATAGGAATGTTGCTCTAGTTTATTGGTTAAGAAAAAGGAGTTGGTAGTAATATGTGTGTGTGAGTCTGTAACATAGAACTGACTAGTTCTACAGATCACATGGATATTCAAACCAATGTGTTTGTACAAATCAGGAAGAAAACTATCAGTTTTGCTTTAGCTTTTCTATACTTATAGCAAATAAACCAGAGGATATTTTTGGCTTCAGTAATGTAAAATTCCAGTTAATGCATCTGGTTTACAATTTTTGTGGCTGTTTTATTATACAATATTGTTGCTATGTCTGAGGAACACTAGGAGAAAATTATAAATTAAGCCATGTTTATCTTAAGGCTCTACCATTCCTTCTGTCAGTTGCCTGGCTGCTGATATCGGCCCTTCTTTTTACTTTTTTTCCTCTATAATTCTACCCTACTGTATTCTAGAATCTGACTTTCCCTTCAAGTCAAGCCAAAGTTCCCAGGCTCTCAGAAGCTGGGGAGTGGGAGAAACTTGGGAAGGTCAGAATGGGCTGGCCCCGGACAATGGACGTGTGTGAAAGATTACCAGGCTTTAGAAAAAATGAACAATATAAAAAATATCAAGCCCAGGGGGACCAATGGGAAACTAGAACTAGACCCCAAAAGAAGGTTCTGAAAAGGCCATACAAAATTTACAAAATGATACATGGGATAAAAGTTCCAGGGAGAGATGAAATAGCCTGTTATGTGAAGGCAGGGAGGGACAGAATCAATTGGCTGGGAAGCTGCTTATAAAAGTGCTGAACTAGTCCAGCCCAAAACAGTATCATGTTCTCTCCAACTATTCCCCCCAAAGCTTGCCTATGGGGTCTTATTTTTAATGTGACAATTGATAGTAATTAGGCAAATTGACCTAAGTTAATTGATTATCCCTCCTTTATAATATAATGCCTGAACCCAAGTAAATTCATAAGCCTTAAGAGCACCTTTTAGAAATAACTCTAATGGGGGGAGGGTATTGTAGGCACTATAGCAGATGGGGGAAGAGACTGTTAGGCAGGAGGCCTTTTCATTCCTATTAATTCATGTAAAGCAGACAAATTCTTTTCCTTTCTACGCTTAGTAAGATTGACTCTGCTGAATATAGAATCAATCTTTTCAGAGTTGGGAGGAACTTCAAAGGTTATCTAGCCTGACTGTACACTTGATACTATGTATTCCTTGGCTCAGAATTAGTAATTTACAAAAGAAGGAAAGTCTGCAAAGTACATTTTAAACTTTTGTTCAAATATGGGTGCTTCAACAGTACAGTATAAATGTCATGAGGGAGTGTTCATTACTTTGGAATGGAACATACATTTAAAAGCTAGTATTTTTCTAATTAAACATTAGGACTTGTCATTTGGGGGGTAAATAGTAAAATAAATAATGGTTTATAGGTACCCAGTAAAACTTCCTGTATATTTCTACATTTTTCTGAGAATAAAGTTTTAATAATGACTCGTTGAATCTGAAAATAAAAAGTTGTTTTTTTGTTTTTTTTTTTTTAATTTAACTTGCTTCCTTTAAATTGATTTAGGCTGACTTTGATGTAGAAATATGTATTGAATGTGGGCACCTGGGGTGGAAAGAGGGCTGATGAGGAACCTGTAAGAGTAAAAGTGATAATGAAGGGTGTTTAACTTATGAACTGTTGGCAATTTTACTCTTGATAAATTCAGGCTCGTTGGACTGTACTTTTCACTGTCTTGACCACTCACTGAAGGCAGGCACTTACCACAGCATACAAATTCTCCTGAACTACCAGAGCTCTACTGATTGCACTGAAGCAGTAGCAAAATAATTTTATGCTCATCACTGTAGGCAGTGCATCAAATGGTGCCCTGGGAGAGAGTGTACCTCTTTGCTATGGAACAACCAGTGTAGTGAGAGAAGAGAGCTCATTAAATAACTTCAGGATTCTGTTACAGCTTGTATTTTGCAGTTCATTGATTTAGAGAAAAAGCCAAAAAACAGAAAAAGACCGTTTAGGCAATGGAACTCTTAGCTGTAAGAATAAGAATCATAATCCCTATATAATTCAAAGCAGCACACCTGTAGATAACTGCTTTCTGTTTTCTTTGCTACTATTCTTAAAAAGAAAAAAGAGAGAAATAAAACAAAATATAACTTCCTCTGCTTCCTACTTCAAAACTCTAGGGACAATTTAACATCTACTAACATACACTGTAGTTTGAAATTTTCCTTTGGAGGTGGAG